CTGTCTGAAATAAAGCAGAGAGGAAAGAAGAGTTTAGAGATGAAGACACAGATTTCCTATAATATTGACTGAGCACCTGGATTCAGCCATGCCTGAAGCCCACTTAAACAATCAGTCGTATAAGTCTCATCCTCCCTTTTTTGACTTGTGTTTATATTCCTTCAACCTTAAGAATATTGGCTACTTCAAAATCTTAGAGGTAGACTAATCCAATTGCCTCTACTTGAATACCTCCATGGATGGGGAATCTCATTCCTCTTTGAGGCAGGAAAACCCCAATTTAGAGCAGCTCTCTTGGGACTTCCTGGTGGTCCAATGGTTAAGAATCCACCTGCCAGTGAAAGGGATATGAGTTCCATCCCCAGTTTGGGAAGATTCCACATGCCAAGGAGCAGCTAAACCTGAGTGCCAAAACTACTTAGCCTGAGTGCTGCCACTATTGAAGCCTGCATACCCCAGAGCCTGTGCTCCACAATAAGAGAAGACACCGCAATAAGAAGCCTGCACACTGCAATGAAGTGTAGCCCCTGCTCACCACAACTAGAGAAAGCCTGCGCACAGCAATGAAGACCTAGCACAGCCAAAAATAAATACATTTATTTAAAATAAAAAAAATAAAAAAAAACTAAGCAACTCTTTTTCAGAAGCATGAGCTTGTGTGCAACTCTTCTGGAAGAAATTTTTAAGTCCTGCCAGCTTGTTACTAACATTTTCATTAATTCTTTCTTTCTGCCACAGTACAACTTCAGTGCAACTCAAACTGTTCTGACAGGTACCTGGGGATGCAGGATGTGTGAAACTGGTAAGCAGGCCAACTTGGAAAAGCAGATAGCTGTTGGGCGCTCAACGTCACCCAATCCCTACACTGGAGCTGTGAGCTCATGACCAACTAAACCAGGTGTGTGGAGCTCTGGCACCGTCATGTTACCTTCCTATTAGTTTTGCAATCGTTTTTCTTGTCCAATAATGAACTGATATTCTTTAAGAGATGACTTGGTTAGATCCTGGCCTATCTTTTTCTTGCCGACTTATTGATACTTTGCATGTGAGATCCAGGGGCTTCCCTAGAGGCTCAGCGGTAAAGAACCTGCCTGCAACGCAGAAGATGCAGTAGAGTCGGGTTCAATCCCTGGGTCGGAAGCTCCTCTAGAGGAGGGCACAGCAACCCACTCCAGTATCCTTGCCTGGAGAAGCCCATGGACAGAGGAGCCTGGCGGGCTACAGTCCACAGGGTCGCAAAGTGTCAGACATGCCTGAAGCGACTGAGCACTCACAGACAGGTCAGATCCAGGCTCCGAGAGTGTCTGAGAGCTGCTGTTAATGCAGCTGGTGGAGTCCTAGCAAAGGGTCTGCATGGAGATGTCCTAGCTCTTTCCTACAAGGGACCAGTGGGTGAAAAGGGCTTGAAGGTGCGAGGATGCAGATATATCCACAGGGTGGGGCAGGTTGCATACAGCAGCCTCATCAGTCCCAGGACCTACTGGCTTCAATATAGGCAGACTGAGGCAAAGCTGAGTTATGTGATTCCCCAATGAGGACCGTGACATTCATTGACTTCTACTGCATAACAGAACTGGCAACTTTCTGGGGTAGGCCTTGGTTCTTCCACAATTTAAACATCCCCAGGACCTGTCTTTCTCTTCTCTGTCTCTGATATGGTTTCCACAGTGTCGTCTTCATTCTCAGTGTAAGCCCCACATTCACATCTTTCTTGAGACCAGCACTCCCAGACGGAGATGCCTTCTCTGGCCTTCATCTAGCTTACTCTCGGAAACAAACTCTGATTGGCCAATTTGGGTCACATGTCCTCCCCAATCAGGTGCTAGGAGTTGAGCATGGAGTACTCTGATTAGCTAGTCACCCTAGAAGAAGTAGGTGTGGCCTCTTGATTGACAGCTCTATCAAAGTCCAGTGGAGTCAGTGCTGTTAACTTACAAAAGGGATATACTGCATACCCCCAAAGTAAGTGAGATCTTCTGTATTCATGGGATAAATTTCTTTTCACCTTTCAACTCCATCGGATTAATGTTGGCTGCCCAGTAGTGGATTGGAAGCCTACCACTGGTTAGCAGGGTCTGCCATGGGGGTAAGACGTGGATGCAGTGGACACATGCTCTGTTCTGTGCTGCGTGTGAACTTCTAGGGCGTGAGAGGCTAAGTTCACATCGATTTAGTTTGGAGGGAAGCTCCTAAACACACACGAGAGTTGCTGATCCGGAAATCCCAGGGCACATCATTAACTTGCTCCCAGCCTCTCTCCCCATCCCATTTCCCGGCTCCACGGGAAAGGTTCCTCCCTCCCCATTCAGGGTCTCTGCTTGGACCCGGGGAGAAAGCCAGATACTCTAGCTGAGGACCCTTCTCTTCGCCTAGTGGTGGATCAGGGGTTCTCAACTAGTCTTCTTCTTGGGAGGAGGGGCTGTCCTGGGGCCAGGTGCTTCCTTTTTGCTTTCTTATCCTAGTTGGAAAGGAAACAAAACAAAACAAAACAAAACAAACACAGGAGAAGAGAACAGACTTCTGTAGCAATTTGGATGCTTTACTCTTAGCTGATTCTTCTCTGCCAACCAACTGCATCCTGGTTGGTGATAGAAGAAGGGCAGAGGCCAGGACACCTGGGGTTGAAAGCCATCCTTGACTCCATGAGTGGGAGTCGTTGGCACCTTTTCTGGGCTCCATGTCCCCATTCCTGAAACAAGGGGTCAGTCCTTTACAGACTTCTCCAGCTCAGACCCTCTGGAGTTCCATGATAATAGTTGCTCTTTTGTCTTCCTTATAATGGTTTTTCATACAGAGCCATACAAGTGGTTCCTTCTAGTCACACACACACAGGTGCAATCCCATACGTATTTTTAATTTATTATTATTCAAAATTAAAAAAAAAAATTGGACCACACCATGCAGATTTCAAGATCTCAGTTCCCCAACCAGGGATTGAAGCCTGACGAGAAGAGTGACCAGAAGAGTGCTGAATCCTGACCACTAGGCTACCAGGGAACTCCTCAGATTGTTGTGTGTTTTTTTTTAAACAAAGGTAACTTTCAATAACAAAGAGAACTTGGACCCCACTTGTTCCAGATATATTTGACCTCCATTTGCTTTACTCTCACTGGGCGATGGTTTAACTGACCCCCAATCCATTTTCAGTGATCATAAAACATGAATTCAAATGCCAACTGTGCCTTGTGACTTTTTTTCTTTTTTGCTGGGTGACCTTGGGCAAATTCCTTTGCTTCTCTAAACATGATATTCTTCCTCTGTAAAGTGGGGTTGTCCACTTATTGGGCTGTTGACATTTTCAAATATTTAATAAGGGGTTTGAAAAATCATAAAGAATTGTACAGGAGACAGGGATGAGCTGTTATTAAACTCTCACTCAAAACTGGCCTAAGAATGGGCCAGAAATTCCTTCAGGCCTGTTTGTGCTGTGCCTTGCACGTAGCAGACACGTGGCAAATATTTGTTGAATGATTGGAATCCCAGGGGCTGCTGGAGTTGTGGAGGATCTCCACACAGCACATGGGCTGTGCGACTTTCTGTCCGAGAGCAGGTCTCTGATGGGGCAGCTGGAAGGGTGGGTTGTGGGCCTGGACCAGGGCTTTCTGGTACCTGCTTGGTGCCAAGGCCACTTAATTCGCCCGTCATGAGGCATCTGTCAGCCAAGGTAGGAAGATGGATTTCCAGCAGCCAGTGGGGATGGTGCTGGTAGTGGAGCTTGTGTTTTTCTGCTTGTGTTGTAGCTGTTTTTCCTCTTTCCTTTTGGGAATAAATTACTGTGGCTTTATAGCCCTTACGAGGGGTTCCTGGAAACTCCAGTTGGATGAATCCCAAAAACTGAATTCTTTTTCGAGTTTCCAACTCCCTCAGATCCTCATTTGGAAGGAAAATAGGGTCAGTCTCCTTGCTTTTTGACAGACACCCGATCACCCTCCACACGGGGTCACCTCTCCTTTTTTGATCTTGGAAATCTTTTTATTTTTTTCCCCCCAAAGGACTCTCAAGGACATGGCTGAGCCACTCAGAAACACAGCCAGTCCCTGAGGGTGAAGGGAGCACTTTGGAAGCCATGTCACCTTCATGACCAAGTGATCAAACCAATCAGGACAGAGCTGGAGGGTGGGGTGGGGTTGAAGACTTGCCCAGTCTCCTTGTCTAGTCCTGTATTCCTTTCTCCTAAGAAATAGGCATTGACATCCATCAAACGCTTTTGCACCCATGTAGGTGCAGAGGGTTTCATAAGCGGCAGTGATGCTCTATTGTCAATTAAATTAAACAACTCCTTGTCCCCGCCCCGTCTTAGAAGAACACTCTGTGCAGCCAAACATCTGTAGCCCAGGATATGCAATCTCCCTCTGTGTCATTTTGCTCCAGACAAAAATGGTGGAAAAGCTGAAATTTATGCCTTTGGAATCTGAGGCATTAACCATTGTAAATCAGCCCTAGGTGCCCAAAGGTAGCAATTACCGCTCTCATTAATAGATTTCCCCAGCCTCGCTCATAAAACAACTCTGGAAATGTCTCAGGGGACAGGGTGGGGGAAGTGTGCCCGGGGATCATTAACAGTCAAGTACCCTGGGCGTAGAGGGAGCCCGAAGCCCTCTCCCCGGGGCCGGCCTGGTGGACGTGAGAGAAACTGCACGCACACAGGGGCCCCCAGACGGGACTGGGGTGCTGCTTGCATGAGGTGGGCGTGTGGCCTGAGTAGAAGCCTCCACATCTGTGCAGTCCCTCCCAGGTACTGGAAAGCACTGGGTCTTGAAGAGCAAAGGGCTGAGGAGGGAGGTTGGGGGGCTGAGAGAAGGAAGGGGGACACAGTGCTGGAGGGGGAGAGGTGAGGAAAGTGCGCATCTCTATGACTACCGGTAACTTTCTTCTTTTGGGAACCCCAGGTCTGGAAGACATCTTGCCTTCAGTAACCACACGGGGACAGTGGGAGCCCAGGACTGGCCCAGGGTCCCCTAGCAAGTCAGTAACTAACTCAGTCATGACCGTGCAGAAAGATGCAGTGGCCTGCCCAGAGTGTTCGACGTGGACCCTTCCCATCTCTGATTGGTAGTAAACTGGATTTGCACCCAGGCAATGCTTTCTTCTGCCTGGTCTGGATATGGAAGGGTGCTTGAGCTGTGGGTGTTGCTTGTTCACTGCTAGGCCTCCCAGGTCCCGAGGCTGGGCTGCCTGTGGGGAACGGCCCACGGTGGCTGGGGCGAAGCGGGGAGGGCGGATTTATTATCTCTGGTCTCCGGTGCTTCACGGGTCAGGTGACATGGCTAATCCTTAATTACACCTAATGTTAAAGGTTAGTCCACCTCTGGGATGTTTCCCAGCTTGAAGGTGCCTATGGAAAATTAGTTCATTCGTAAAACAAAGTGTCAGGTTACAGACCCAAATGGTTTCCCCTCATCTCTGGTGGAGGCGGAGTTGGGGTGGGGGGACGCTGCTGCTGAGAAACATCCTGAAGCTAGCCTTCTGACTCATCCGTTACCTCTAACAGGGTGTCAAATGAATGATTCCCTTCTAGAGAGATAGTAACTGTGCCCAGAGGAAGGGTGAGTTCAAAGGGCTTCAGAAGCATCGGACAATCACTCAGACAGACAGAGGTCAGTGTGAGGAAGATGAAGCCTGGGGAATTTCATGCTGATGGTTCAACTTCCCAGTTCCTCTGCAGATGCCTTCCCACCCCCATGCCGTTGTGCTTCGCATGATCAATGGAGACATTGCAAAGTTGCTGAGAAGTGCTGGGGCCCCTGACTCTGCCCTGGGCAGTGCCCAGGTGGGCCCAGAAGTCATCACAGCGAAGTACCTGCACTCCGAGGCAGTTTTGCTGGGGCCAAGTTCTCGCTCTAAAGATGAGTTCCCATCAGTCCAAAATATATTAACTCATCCTGTAAGTATTTCCTGGGCCCTCACTCTGCCACGTACTATTTTAGAATCAGGGGATGGATTGCAGTGACCAAACGGACAAAACAAGAATGGCTCCCCTCCCAGAGCTTCCATTCTAGTGTTCGAGGGCACAGACAGAAAACAAATGAAATGTGTTAGTAAAATGATTGTGTTTTCTGATGGTGATGAGAACCATGGAGAAAAAGAAAGAAAGCAGGGGTGAGAGATAGAGGAAGTATTGACCTGAGTGTGTGCTGTACGTTTTGATAGGGTATTCAGAGAAGCTCTCACCCAAAGTTGAGGGTGGTGCAGGAAACAGAAGGAGATGAGATAGTAAGCCAAAAGGAGATCTCAAAGAACAGACACTCCAGGCAGGGAACAGCAAGTGCAAAGGCCCTGAGGCAGTAGGATGAAAGTGTGTTTGAAGAGCAGCAGGGAGGCTACGTGGCTGGAGCAGAGAGAGTCAGGGAAGAATAATAGAAGATGAGGTCATGGAGAGCAAAGGGCCATGCATTGGTTTCTGAGCCTCTAGCTTGTGCTCAGCATTCCCTGACCTTGACCACGGATGTGACATGTTGGCTGTAGTGTTTTAGAGTAGGGGTCAGCAGACTACAACTCTTTAGCCAAATCTGCCCACCTGCCTGTTTTTGTTGATAAAGTTTGACTGGAACAAAGCTACACCCATTCATTTGTGCCTGCGTGCTAAGATGCTTCAGTCTTGTCTGACTCTTCGCAACCTTATGGACGGTAGCCCGCCAGGCTCCTCTGTCCTTGGGATTCTCCAGGAAAGAACACTGGAGTGGGTTGTTATGCCCTCCTCCAGGAGATCTTCCTGATCCAGTGATCGAACCCACGTCTCTTACATCTCTCGGATTGGTAGATGGGTTCTTTATCACTAGTGCCACTTGGGAAGCCCACCCATTCATGTACATATTGTCTATAGCTGTTTTCAGGCTATTGGATTGGCCAAAAAGTTCATTTGGGCTTTTGCAGAAGATGTTACAAAAAAGGTCAAATGAATTTTTTGGCCAACTCAATAGAGACTCATAGTAGTAGTGACAGTGGATGAACTGAAAGCCTAAGATATTTACTATTTGGCCCATGTTTTAGGGCATGGGCTTCAGAATTAGACCACATTGGTTCAAATCTCTGCTCATTTATTATCCAAGTGGCCCTGGGCAAGTTACTTAACTTCTCAGAGCTTTATCTTTGTGAATGTAAAATGCTGATAATATCTATCTTACAGGTTTTCCTGAGATTAGATTAATCCACTAATATGAAATGCACACAGTTGATAAATCCAAATACTTATTAAGGAGTCTGCAGTGGGTGCCTCATCCCTGACTCATTCTTAGCAAAAGGCTTCATTGGTCTAAGTCTCAGTTTCCCTATCTGTTAAATGGGGATAATTATTTATGAAACTGAAATGAGATACACTGTGTGGCTTCTAGGAAGCACACATTAAAAGGAAGTTGCTGTTTTTAGTTTCATTAAGTTACCCTCCAACATCTCCTTTGTGTGGGGCCATCTGCAAGTCCTCCAGGATCTGGGAGAAAAAAATCCAACATCTGTCTGTATATCCATGTGCCACTATCCTGCTGCTGGCTCCTGGAGCATACTCCAACTGACGGTGCCTGGAAGGGAGTGCGTATTAAAAGACCCTCCCTTCCCCACAGCTTGGCATTTGGCCTAAACTACCTGAAAGAGTGCCAACCTGTTCAGCACGTTTGAATTTGCAAATAATCTCTTATTTACTCTCAGAGTATCCACAAAGCTGAAGCTTGTCATGGGTTTTTATTATGTGGTAATAAGTACTGCTGGGGAAGATCTATCTTTGCAAAGCCCAATTAGTGTATTTATTTATTAGGCTCTTGTATCATCAGGTAAGAGTAATAAATAAGAGGGTCATTATAGGATTCTGCCCACTAAACCCAGTTTGAGCATTTGCCGATGGGCAGGGGTGGATGGCAAATGGCAAGAATTTGGGGTGGGATGGTGGTCGGGGCTTGGGAAACGCTGATTTTGTTGGACTTTGTCATGCTGCTTGGCTGTGATGACAATCCACTTGAGTTATATTGCATTAAAAAAAAAAAAGTGGCGAGAGTCCAGTGGTTGAAATGCAGACGCCCACATGTATTTATATTTGCAGTGGCGGGGCCATGTGTGCAGTGATACAGCGAATGAGAAAGTTGTGGAACTGAAAATAACATATGTCTGTCTGAAGTGCCAGAGGAAATCGTAGCACGGGCGAGAAGGGGAAGGGTCCAGATTTAGAGATGGGGAAGAAATATGCTCCTTGTTCAACTGTGGTGTTTATACACAAGCCCTCATTTCTGCTCACACATAATGAACAGCCACAAAACTGACAGGAAAACAAATGCAAAACTGGGCAAGTTGATTGTTTCTTCGAGAGTTGGTTGGAGGAATGGAGTTCTGGATTGAAAATAAAGTTCTGGCAGATTGAACTTTGACCCCCACCCCACCCCCTTTTTGCGGGTTTCTGAGTTCCTGGGATCCGGTTTGTGAGAACGACGCTGTGGATCGTGGCTGAAGCAAGTCAAGGTGGACATGGTTAGAAAGGAATTCATCCTTCACCACAAACCTCCTTGACTTAAAAATGATTAAAATAAAAATCTCCGAACCAGTTACTTTCAGTCCCCTGAGAGCCAGAGGATCATTTAGGGTTTTTCTGGACTCAGGGACCCCTAAGATCACATTTCTCTTCTGGCTAGGGTGTTATTTTTAAGCCATGGTTACCAGCCTCCAACTCTTAGTTCCATGTGTCAATATGTATAAATAGATGTGACTAAATTAAAAAAGAAATAATAGGTAGAATTCACATCTTTGTTTTTTTTCTTTCCATCTTCATGAAAACAAGTAACAGGTTTGACTTCATTTTCCACATTTCTCTTTGCCGTTTTGATATTATCAGATGCAGCCCAGTTAACCTCTGAGTCTGATGTTATCAGACTCAGAGCACATATGATCTTCACAAACAAAACTCCATAGAAAGACTCAGTCTCTGACACCTCTCAATGGGTCTGTGACTCATTGCCTTCAGAGAACCCCTGAATCCCAAGCTCAGATCCAGCTGGAAACCTCCCACCATGGCCCTTGGCTTGAAACTAGACCCTCAAGATTTTAACATACATGATGGCCAAGTCACTTACATCTAACTTCCTCACCTCAGTGTTTTCATCTGCAGAATGGACATAATACTCTTGCCACCTGCCAGGATCCAGGAGAGGATGGGAAGAGTTGGAGAAACACTCTTGGTAGGACTCAGAGTAGCTGCTGAAGTGAAATAGAGCCCAATGGCCACTCAGCAATTGTTTTCTGCTTCTTTCTCACCTTACTGGTTAAATGTGACCAACATGTGGTTTTCATGCCTTTATCTCCCTTCTGTTCAGAAGTGAGTTCAATTTGTCAGGCATGCTGGTCCCAGAGACCTGAGCCTGGGGGCTGAGCTATCACAGCTTGAACCAGGTGCCTCCCCTTGGTTTGGTATGTTACACCTCATGACAACTGCCAGAAAGGCACTGCTGGTCCCATTTCACAGATTGGGAGACTGATGTGCAGCTGCTCCTTTCACACCAGTTGAAACTTAACTATAACACTTGCGGCAGTTTAAAAAAATACGGTTGTTACAACCAAAGACATATGCAGCTGTCTGTCTGTGGAGAAGGATGAGGCAGGCAGGCAGAAGACAGGGCATTCAGATGAGGGTCTTGGGAAGAAAGCACTGGATCCTTCCACATGCTGGGTAGTGGGTCTAATAGTGTCCCCCTTACCTCGGAAAAAAAAAAATTGTGTCTGCCCAGAGGTCAGAATATGCCTTTGTTTGGAAATAGAGTAATGAACATGTAATTAGTTAAGGCTCTTGAGAGGAAATCATCCTGGATTTAGAACAAGCCCTAAGTCCAATGACTGGTGTCCTTACAAGAAGTGGAGAGGGACACAGCCACAGAGGGAAGAAAGCCATGAAGATGGGGGAAGAGACTGGAGCCAGAGGACGCTGGGAGCCGCCAGGAGCTGGAAGAGGCAAGGAAGGATGCTCCCCTGGGGCCTCTGGAGGGGGCATGACCCTGCTGACACCTCAATTTTGTACTTCTGGCTTCCAGAATGGCGAGAGAACAAATTTCTCTTGTTTCTCTTTTTTAAGATTTTTTATTAAAATGTGGACCATCTTTAAAGTCTTTATTGAATTTGTCACAATATTGCTTCTGTTTTATGTGTGTTTTTTTTTTTTTTTTTTTGGCCACAAGGCATGTGGGATCTTCAGTCCCTGACCAAGGATCCATCTTGCACCCCCTGCATCGGAAGGTGGAGTCTTAACCACTGGACAGCCCAGAAAGTCCCAATTTCTATTGTTTTAAGCCACCAAGTTTGGGCAGTTGGTTAGGGCAGTCTTAACACACTAACATTTTCCTGCTGTCCTTCTGGTGAGCTGTTTACATTTGGTCACCAGCAATGAAGGCAGGCGGGAACTCATACTGAACACACACAAGGAAGTGTTGTTCTGTAAAGGGAAACATTAAATCTCTTTGGTGAAACAAAACAAAAGGCTGAAAAATCTCTGGTCTTTCCTTGGAGCGTGCCTTAGAGACAAGATCCGTGAATCTGTGAGGAGTCTGGCAGTGTAGGGTATGGGATCGGGGCAATGATGCAAAATGATATGATTTATTGCTTTGTTGAGCAATATTTTCAGCTGTGGATCTTGCTTTCAAGCTTAACTTATTGCCGAAACAACCGGCAGGCCAGGGGACTCTGAACACACAGAAAATATCTCCAGTGACAGCAGAAAGAGCATGGCTGATGTTTCAATGGGGAAGGGGGGAGGTTAGTGGTTTGAAGACTTGATTATGGAAACACTGCACAGGGAGACTGGATGACATCATCACTAACATGACCCTGGAGTTTGGGGAATATTGAAGTAGTTGGTGGAGCCTTATCTCTCAGGGACTGATATGAGAAGTCCTTTACAATGGGACAGCACTGGGATGGGCGTCTAACCCCAACAGGTGAGTGGGAAGTGGTGTAATTAGCATTATTGTGGTAATTGAGAGACCT